CTAAAGTAATAAGGATAGTAATCCCTTATGCCTTATTTTATCTCTATATAATTAATTTATAAGACGTTACTAAGTATAAAAAGGTGTTAAATTCCTAAGTAACTATAGCTAGCCTATTAGGTAATCTCTAGCTAGTAGTAACCTTATTTAAAGGCGTTATAAAAGGGTATTATCTTACTATATATATAGGTAGTTAGATTACGCTAAGGACTTTATTTAAGGCTATTTTCCTTATAAAGCTTACTTTATAGTAAAAGATTATAGACTATATATAAGGTAGCTTATAGGTAATAATATAGTTTAGTATATTATAAAGTTAACTAATAAGTAAAGATTACTACTTTTAGCTAAAGTACGCCTAAGGCTACTTAATTAACTATATAACGCCTAATAGGTATAATAATTATAAAGATACTACTAGTAAATTACTAGTGCGTAATAAAGGGGTTACTAGACTTTATAAGCTAATAAGTATATATTAGAAGTTACTATACTTTCTACTAATCTATAGATAGTTAAGAAGCTACCTATATAAAAAGTAATTTAAAGACGCTAAAAAAGTGTATCTATATAAGTATAAAATATTAAAATCTTAGGTAATAGTGCTATAAGCAGTAGCTAAAAGATATTAAATCCTTAGCTACTATTAGGTATATACCTATAAGCTTAATAAATATAGTTAATTAACTAAATTTAAAGTAAGACTTATAGTCTATAGTAACTAATAAGTAAAGAATCTATAAGATACTTATATAGCTATATTAGTAAGTATATTATTTTAAATACTTATAGTAATAGCTACTTACTTTAATTTAGAATTACTTTAATATAACGTAGTAAATATATTTATTTATACTACTATTAATAAGGTAGTATTTATAAAGATAGCTCTAGGCTACTAAATCTCTAGCTAGATTCTCTAGCTACTAAAAGCGCTATATAGGCTTTAGTAATTACTACTACTATAGTAAAAGCACCTTAAAAAAGGACTTACTATATAGGGCTTTTACTAAGTGCTTAGTAAGAATTACTATTAGAAGAAGAATTATATTATATTCTCTTTTTATATTAATAACTATATATTAGCCTATTACTATATAAATAAAGCGTAAGTAAGTAATAAGATAGTAGCTCTTTAGTAATAATACTACCTTAAAGGTAGAGGCTTATTATAGTAGTTCCTTAGCCTTAAGGTAACTTATAACTAAAGTAACTATTATCTCTAGCTCTTATAAGTAGTATATTATAATAAAGTAACTAAACTACTGCTAATAAATAAGAAATATAATAAATTATTACCTATAGTAAGGGCTAAGCTACTACCTAGTAAATATATAGCCTTATTATAAAAGGTTAACTAATATTAAAAAAAGGTAGAGATAATCCTTTATATAGTAGTAATAACTTAGCTAGACGTTACCTTTATAGCTAGCTAGGTTACCTACTTTAACTATAATCTAAATCTAAATTACTAAAAGGTACTAAATTAAGTACTTAGGTATCTTTATTAAACGTAACACTTTTACCTTAAATATAAAGTAACGCTAGGTAGTAAAAATAATACGTTAGAGGTTACTTTAGACGCCTTATTTACTAATAACTTACTAGACTATTATAGCTTATAAGTGTATACACTAAAGCTATTTAGAGGGCTTATCTCTTAGTAAGCTAATAAATAAGATATAGTAATAACGTTAACTACTAAGGCTAAATTACTAGCCTTATTATCTACTATAAAAGAGGCACTTTTTACTAGTAGATTAATTACTACACTAGGTATTTAACTATTAATATAAATAAGAACTAAATTATTACTTAATAAGTAGGTAGCTACTAAATAGCTACTAACTATTTATATTAGCTATAATAATACCTAGACTATTAGGCTTATTACTAAAGAGCTTATCTAACTATAGATAAGGCTATAGTATATAAATATTTATAACTACTAGCTATAATAAGAAGTAGTAGTAAATTAGATTACTATTAAATATAAGAAGTCTACTAAATTAATAGCTAATAAATTAATAAAGGCGCTTAGTACGCTATAATTTACTATATTTATAGCTTAATTAAATATAAGTAACTAATATATACGCCTTAAAGTAAATTAATAGTAAGAATTAGCTAATAATAAAATAAAGCTTTACTACTAAATAGAGGAGGAAAACGTATAAGATATTAAGAGATAATTAATAAATAAATAGGCTATATATAAATAATATTTAGTATAGGCTTTATAATAATTAATTATGCTACTAGCGCTAAGGGGGTATATTAAATATAGTAGAATTATATGTAAATTAGCTAGTAAATATATAGTTACCCTATAGCAAATAGTTAGGGAATAAGCAGTAAATTAGCCTTACTTCTAATAGTAACTTTACTAATAATATCGCTAGGATTAGATAGGGATTTCCTAACTAAGAAATAGGGGTTTTTCCTTATTTCTATAGTAATTTATAATAGATACACAACATATAACAGAATTAATTAAGTAACTATTACAATCCCTACTATTTAACAATTAATTAGGCTAACCCTACTGCTAATACTAGACTTTTAACCTAGTATAGATACTAGAGGAGCCTATTTCTTTTAATTAAGCTTTTCTTTACCTAGAGTATAACCTCTATTTGCTATGTGCCCTAGCTTATAAGTACTATAATTATTATAACTAAAGACTTTTACTTTAGGCCACGTTAGTAGTTACTAGTAAATTAACAGCCCCCTTTTAGTATTTTAATAGCCCTCTAGCTATAACCACCACAGCACACCTAAATAACCTATTATATTCCCTTAATATTACTAACTAACCTATACCCTTACCTAGGCCCTAATTACTAACCCTATATATGTTTTATATGCTTTTAAAGATGTGTAAGGTTAGTAGTTAGATAGTTAGGGTCTAGGTTAAGGTCTAGGTTAGTTAGTTATGTTTACGTAATAGAATAGAGCATAGTCCTTCTGCTGACACTAACTAGAATAGGCAGTAGGCTTACTAAGATAGGCTTAGAGGGCCGCTAAGATACTAAAACAGGGCTGTTACTTTACTAGCTGCCGCGTTAGCAGAGGACACAAGTCAGGAGAAGAATCAGACCTGAGTTACCAAGGCACTAGCTTCGGTGGGACCAACACGAGTCAGATGAGGGTCTAGTATAGACCCCGTACTACGGATACAGCCGCTTGTACTTCGGTATCGGGCCAAGTTTAACCCCCTCGTCAGGTAAATGTGGCCGTGCTTTTTTTGATTATCCCAGCGACGGTACTTTGAGCTTTTTGTGCACCTCTATTCTAATTCTGGCCAGTGAGAGTCTCTCGTACGTGGGTCACAACTCCACACTACCTGCTAGGGAGTTTATACGATGTACTTACCCATTATACTAAGTACATTGTACTTCATTTCTTTGTAATCACGAAGTCAAGACTGGATATAGATCTAGGCCTATAAGTCCGGTCAAGGTTTCGTGTATTTTAGATTACTGGATTGCAGATGTAATGATTGGTCAATGCCGCTGCCTGGATTTCTACAAATATTCATGTGTCAGTTGTTGAGGACACACTTTCCTCTCTGGTTTTGACGGGGAACGAATAGGGGAAATGCTCCGGTAATTAAGTCACATATCACTTTCAAGTTAATACAACATGGGTGGAGGGGCAAAGTCCGAAGCCAGGGAATCCACTACATTACGTGTACTCCGTACTACGTATTGTTACGCAGCTGATTATCCAAGTTTTGCTATTGGTCAAACCTGCTCTATAGCCAGGCTCGGATATTGGAAAACACAAAAGCCGGTAAGTCATGCCCTACCTATGTAGTAATAACCCATCGTACATACATTAGTCCAATATTAGGTGGATAAGCTTATATGCATAGACATGGTTGGCCGCCGATCTTATCTACAATCGAAGACACGTGTTGATCGAGATGATCGAGATGATAGCAGGTAAAATGCCAGTGCGATATGGTACGCGACCGGTGTCTAACCCGATTTAGAAGGACTGCCAGATAGGAGCTAGAAAATACGTAGGGTGAGGTTAGGGTCTGGGTTAGGATTTGGGTTAGTTAGGGTTAGGCTGATTGAATCTGGTATTTCTGGTTAAATGGTGGTGGTAGTGGTGGTAGTACCTTCCGAAATAGGTTTAACTCACTGGCCGTGTACCATATCGCACTGGCATTTTACCTGCTACCATCAAGATACGATACTGACTCCTGTAAAGAGTAAACATAGCCGCCGCCCTTTACAGAGTCTAGCTAGTCTGTCGCCTCTAATTAACGCATCAACCTTCACTACATTGCATTCTAGAGTCTAAGACTAAACACTATCTCTAATTCTGAGCTAAACTCTAATTTCTATCAAGATAAACCCAACACGATAGCCTATCTATATGCCTCACTGAAAATTATCAATCAAGGGGGAGCATGGCACTATTATAGATTATATGACATTGTACGGAGTATGAATTTGTCAACTGATAAGCAGAATAAGGGGGCAGGATATTACAGCCCCCTACCATGAAGGGATGTAAACTTGATACCCCAGGATACAGAGGCCCTGAGCGTTGGCCATTACAATACTCTGTATTGCCTTGGTATATAATACTGGTGGGTGGCATTGAAAACGTTGAGCCTTCTTGAAAGAGGCATTCAACCGAGCGCGGAGCTCCACAAGTGGTCTATTCTCCTTGATGTCCGATGGCGTGGCGCGAAGGAGCAAGGACGGCCACAACCCTGCCCTGTGGAACCATTCTAACGAAGGGACTTTACTGACATAGATTTATGCCTACATACCAAATGGGGGAAGAGAATCGGGGTTAGCCATCGATATCAATGCAAAATTTATCTGGTAGATGGTCCAGATAAAAGGTGAAGACAGCGCACTCTGGATTTGATTCCCGCTTCCATAGCAGCATCGTCACTCACTCTCTTTTTCAGCAAAGACGCTTCTGTCACATTCCCTCTTTCTCCAAAGCTGTCTTTCTCCAAGAAATTTTTCACAATGGTCAAGTCTCTCACCACCGCAACCCTCTGTCTGGGGATGATCCAGGCCGTTTCCGCTGCCTGCACTAACCCGGCACAACGCAAGTCATGGTAAAATCATCTTGAACCAAGTTCTCCTAGCATTTTGGGTACTAATTATCCCGAACAGGAGTGCGCTCACTAGCACTGAGAAGGCCGAATACATCGATTCGACACTCTGTTTGATGGATCCGGCACAGGCTCCTTCAAAGACAGGCTTCGCTGGCTCCAAATCCCGTTGGCACGAGCTTCAAGTGGCTCATATTGCCCAAGTTCAATTCATTCATTCCGTTGTATGGTGTTATCCTTCACATTAGCCACCGGCGAGCCATTAGAACTAATGTTTTTTTCCACAAAGGGTGCATTTCTTCCGTGGCATCGTTGGTTTATGACGGTCCACGAGAATCTCCTCCGATCGGAATGTGGTTATACTGGCCCCATACCGTAAGAGAATCTGTTACAATATGAAAATGAAACACCAGGAGTTAGGTACTAACGGATTATATAGTTACTGGAACGAGCAGGTGGACCAGGCTGCAGGACCTCTGACGGCTGCCAGCATTTGGGGCAATGACTCTTCGACCTCGTTCGGAACTGGCTCTACCGACAGCAACGGATGCCTTCTTGATGGCCCATTCAAAAACGTGAAATACAACGTCGACATTCAACTTCAGAGGGGCGCCGAGCACTGTCTTGCCTATGATCTCAAGCAAGACGAGTTCGATCTTGTCTCTCAAGCCCTTGTGGACGCCTGCAACACCCTTGAGTCATACAGCGATTTCAACAGCTGTCTTGGCGGATCGCCGCATGTGTCCGGCCACTATGCTATCGGAGGAACTGTGAGTACATCTGATCAACCCAACAACCACACAAGAGCCTAACCAATAGGGATAACTGTAGATGGACGATGTTTCTCTCTCGCCTGCTGACCCGCTATTCTTCATGCACCACACCAACCTAGACCGTCTTTGGTGGGTATGGCAAAGCAAAAACACTTCTCGTCTGACTGACATGGGCGGCCCCAATGTTGCCAGCGGGTTTTTGGCGTCGGTTCAACCGACGATTTTGCCCGTGGAGGCATTCGCTCCGTACTTTGGGGACAATGGCAACACCACAACTCTGGACCACATCTTGTGGATGGCTGGCACTGCCGAGAACATCACCATCGCCGAGGTTATGGACGTCAAAAGCGACGCGATCTGCGTGGAGTACATTTAAGATGAACATCGCGTAGCAATCGTCGAGCTTGCACAAAGTCACTGAGTCAGCACGACCACCCCCCCATTTCAACCCCCTCGCATTTCAAGCAAAACCACTGAGGGAAATATGTTTTTACCACAATACAAGGACTACTAGAGCTTCACTGTATATAGTTAATACTTGGAGAAAAGATGTACATTGAATCAGAGGGCTCTGATTAATTGACGCGAATCGAGAAAGAAGCGGAATTACCTTTCAGGACTAGTGTAGAACCTGCATGATGTTCACCTGTAACAGGGAAGCATCAAGCCCTGCATAGGTAGTAGGTGATAGAGGGGGGGCATAGGGTGGAAGAACGAACCGCCCGCAATCCTGGGGGTAGGCGATCTTCATGATCGGCCTGATCTCTACGGTGGAGTCGGCGAATATCCAATCGCAAGTAATACATGAATACCCAATTAAGCTATCTATTAGGCTTCTACTCCTGACTGTAATATCAGGCCAAATTAGTGGTATCGATGTTTGAATGAAACACAAAGAAAGGTACATATGTACTAAGTTGGTGAGGCTCAGCCGCAGGGAGCCAATCTAAAACAAAATCTGTAACTAACGACAACATACGATTGTGTGCGCACGGCCATAGAGGGGTGCGTCAAAACTCAGAATTGCACGGACGTTGTCAGACCGCAAAATAAAACCAAGAGTTTTCCCAGTGAAGTGACATGTATCCGGTTTTCATTATACCATCTGACCATCGCTACAGCTGCATACAACGCTGAATTCAGTATGTCTTCAACACCTGAATATCAGCCCTTTCTGAAATACTCGGACAATCCTACTGCCGAAGAGACAACCTCTCCCCAACGACATGCTAGCCGCCGCAACACGTTCCTTTCTCATGCCTCAGTGCTTGTTGGCACATCGCTGGTCTGGGTTTTTGTTTTCTTTTTGACGAACCCCTCAATCAAAACGACTTCCTCAAGACAACAAACGTCGTCATCTGGACTGCCACATGTCTTCGTTCCCGGAGAACGCCACAACATCACAAGCGGCATGAAGAAGATATCCTGCGGAAGCACAACGCAAGAAGCGAGAGCTAAAGGCTGCAAATACGACATTCTTCTGAATCACTGGGTACCAGAGGTATGCTTTGATAAGGAATCTGTCGACGAATACCAGGAAGATGGTAGTTGGGGTGCTTTCGCCGACATTAACATGACGGAACGCTTGACGGTTGATGAAATGTCTGAAAGAGACTTTTACTGGACTTCAGTCCGTGATCACATTAATCACTGCGCCATAATGTGGAGGCGTCAGTTCTACGCCTTTTTTGATGATCGGGCTGCGATAGATTCAATTGTTTCAAGCCCTGGACACACTGAGCACTGCTCCCAATACCTAATGGATGCAGTAGAAGCTAAATGGAAAGAGCCTACAAAAACGATGAGGGGGTTTGCAGGCTGCTGGATTCGGGAGTAGTCCACTCAGAGTTTATGGCCACACACACACTTGGAGCGTGATTTAGGCAGCATTGGTCTTGACACTGCCAGTACATACACTTTGTAGTTACCTACAGTTTATATACAAGCAAAGTTGATGTACATAGTCGTTCTGAGCCTATATAAGGGCTCCAGTGCAGTTTGTTGAAGCGCGTATTTTACAGCAATACCCCTGTGATTAATTGATTGCTCTGTTGTGCGTATCTACTACTATGTTACGCGGCCATCGCCAATCGGCCTTTTAGAAAAGGGGCAAATACACAGATCATTATTTTCCCTTAATTTAGGTAGAGAAATCTATCAAATATAGGGGAATTACACGTGAATTCACTAGCGAATGCACAGTTGCCTTATAGCAAATCGCTAGGGAATAGGTAGTGAAATCGCCCTACTTTAATAGCGATTTTACTAATATTATTACTAGGATTAGCCTAGGATTTCCTAACTAAGAAATAGGGGGATTTCCTTATTCCTATAGGATTTTACTATAGTTATATAATGTATAATAGAATTAATTAAGTATTATAATTATTATAATTTAATAATTAATAGTTTAATATATATATATCTATAATAACTAATATACTTATTTATTAATAAATACTATTATAATAATTAATAAGAATAATAATAATAAGGTACCTATCTTATAATTATATAGTAATTAGTTTATATAGCTTAATGCTATTTAAGTAAAAGTAAAGTATTATAATCTCTAAAAGTATATTAATATTATAGCTAGTTTCTAGATAGTAGGGTTTCTACTAATAGTAAGTAGAGTGTTATAGCTAGTTTCTAGACAGTAAAGGTTTTACTAATAGTAAGCAGAGGTTAGTACTTAGTTAATAGTATTTATCTTTTCTTATTATCTTATTAATTACCTAGTAATTAGTTAAGGCTTAGGGCTATAAGGTAGCTTATATAGCTTCTTATTAATTAAATTACTAAGGTTAGATACTAAAAAGTATTTAGAGAATATATTATAAGTTAATTACTAAAGAGCTATAGGAGTCTGTCCTTAAGTGTGTCTAAGTCTATCCTATATATAAGTCCTAACTGTTCTTAAAATAGTTTCTTTAACTAATAGTTATAAAGTAGAATAAGTACTTACTTAGGTATCTATTAAGTATATATCCTACTTATAAATAAGCGCTTATTTTTTATTTTATTTTATACTTATAGTTATATAACTTTACTATAGTTTTTTATTTTAAGGAGTTATCTATTTATTCCTTATTTCTTATTTATATAAATACGACTACTACTTACTATCTATCTATTAGGTAAGGTAATATAGCCTATAACTTATTAGGTTATAATATTAGGTCTTCTCTTTAAAAGGTCTTACCCTTAAGACCTATATAAGTAGGTTATATCTCTTAGGTTAAGAAGTTATTAATTATACTTCTTTACTTTTTATAATACTAACACTATATTAGGTTATATAAAGAAAATAAAATTATGAAGTACTTTTTCTTATTATTACTTACTTTATATTATTTAATTTTCTAATAAAGGTGTTAAAATAATACTATATTTAAATTATTAGTCCTATAGTATATATTATTTAGGCCTCTTTAATTTTAATATTTATAATACTTATTATTATTTAAGAATATCTTATAATATATTTATAAATACTATTTATACTTAATATACTTATATAGTAAGCTATATATCATAGTAAGCTATATACTTATTTTTCTTTTTTTACTTTACTTATAAGTTAATTAAGCTATAATATATAAAATTAATTAAAACTACTTATTACTATCTTCTTTATTACTATCCTAAACTACCTTATAGCTTTATATATTATATCTAGTCTTTCTATAATTACTATATTACTATATATATAGCTTACTACCCTCTATATAACCCTCTTTTTAGAATATTCTTCTACTTTTAGCTTTAACACCCTTTTTTTCTCTTTATAGCGCCTCTACTTTAGCTATATTAAGTAACTTTTTAAGATATAGTTAGGTCTTTTTAGCCCTCTAGCGCTTACTTAGTATATTTATCCTTATATAAAGTCTAAAGTTCTTAGCTTTAATAAGAGTAAGCCTATATACTAACTTACTAATACCTTTAGCTTAGAGGTTAATTACCTTATATATTAGTGTTAGTAAGCTTTCTTAATATCTTTAGATCCTTTTCTTTAGTAAACTAGCACTTTATACGCCCTTTAGTGCTATAGTTAGTGTCTTTAGTGTTATAGCTAGTTTTTAAGTAGTAAGGTTTCTACTAATAGTAAGTAGAGGTTAGTACTTAGTTAATAGTATTTATTTTTCTTATTATCTTATTAATTACTTAGTAATTAGTTAAGGCTTAGGGCTATATAGTAGCTTATATAGCTTCTTATTAATTAAATTACTAAGGTTAGATACTAAAAGGTATTTAGTAAATATATTATAAGTTAATTACTAAAGAGCTATAGGAGTCTGTCCTTAAGTGCGTCTAAGTCTATCCTATATATAAGTCCTAACTATTCTTAAAATAGTTCTTTTAACTAATAGCTATAAGTAATTACTATTCTTATATAAAGTAAGCGCTTAATAAATACTAGTAAGTACTTACTTTTATAATTACTAGTAATTACCTTATTTTATAATTACTTCCTTATCTCTATATAACTTATACTATAGTTCTTTTATTTTAAGAAGTTATTTATTTATTCCCTTATTTCTTATTTATAAAAATACTACTACTACTTACTATCTATTTATTAGGTAAGGTAATATAGCCTATAACTTATTAGGTTATAATATTAGGTCTCCTCTCTAAAAGGTCTTACCCTTAAGACCTATATAAGTAGGTTATATCTCTTAGGTTAGGGAGTTATTAATTATACTTCTTTATCTTTTATAATACTAACGTAATATCTAGTAAAAAGAATTATTAAAAAGCTTTTTTTATATAACGTTACTTAAAACTTACTTTAGTAATAAAGAAGTTTAGCTTTAACGTTATACCTTATTCTTCTTACTAGTTAGTAAGTTATTACTATAAGATACTTATAAAAAAGTTAAAGTATTATAAGTATACTTATTATAGCTATTTATATAATATAACTATAAATACTATTAATAAGTATAAAGGCTTTTTTTCTTATTAATATTTTTATTTTAATAAGTACTAGTAGATTATTTTCTTACTAAGTCTAATTAACTAGATTATAAAGAGGAAGAGGCTAAATAGCTTCTTTAAAGGCGTACTATAGCGCTATAAAAGGTATACGCTAAAATAAATAAACCTCTAGTAAAGTTAGATTCTCTTTAGTAAGTAAAAAAAATAGTGTTTTAGAAAGGTTAAAGTATTTTAAATAGTTTTTTTAATAAGTCTACTAGGGTTCTAAAGAAATCTATAGTTATTTATAAGGTATAGTCTAATAGTGCCTTTACTGTAGTTAAGTAAAGTGCTATATAAGGTAATCTTAACTTAGTAAGTTTTAACTTTAGTATACTTATAAAAGCTACTAAGAATATTAAAGGTTTTTTATTAGTTCTTATAAGTTATTTTTATATTTATAATCTTTTTATTTAACTAAGTATTATTTTATTTTTATTCTTATAGTATTAGTTAATAATTCTTTTAACTTTATATTTTAGTTAATATTGTTTAATAATAATATAGTTATTAGTGTTTTATCTTTATAGTACTAAATTTAGTAGTATAATATAAAAAACTAAGTAAAGTTTTATTATATTAAGTAAGTTAAGTTTATAGTTAACGCTAGAGATCCTTTTAAGAATCTTAAATAGTCTAAGTTTCTTATAGTTAAGTTTATTACTTAGTTACTTTATTTTAATATTTCTATATAAGAGGTATATACTATCCCCTTCTTTAAAGGTTAGTCCCTTAATCCTTAAAGTGTTAGTATATTCCTTTATTTATATTCTAATAAATTCTAGGTCTAGAGCTACTTTACTTTAGAGCTCTTTTATTCTATTAATATTATTATATAGCTATTAATTAAAAGCTTTCTATTTAGTTAAGTTAAGGTTATAAATTAGCTTAAGTTTTAGTTATATCTCTAGTAATAGCTTAATCTTATAGTTATGTAGACTATACTTTATTAATTCTATTTCTAGTTCTTTAGTAAATAGTTTACTATATTTTTAATAAATCTTAAGAATTACTAAAAGTCTTTCTTTTTTATATTATTTATTATTTATAGATATAAATTACTTATCTCTTATAGGTTTAACTCTTTAAATAAATACTATATACTTTAGTTATTTTCTTAATTTACTTAAGGGTTATAGCGTATAACGCTACCTTATAGCTAAATCTATTTACTAAAGTTAGCTAGACTTCTAGCTAATATCTAGGTTATATTTCCTTAACTAAGGGATTTCTAATACTATATTAAAT